CATAAAGTTCAGCGTCTTATTGTCCAGATAAGTTCAGTGGCCTCTTGGGGAGACCTTCTATGGTCTGAAGATAGGTCTAACAGAGTAAAGATCCAGTCAGTTAAAAGCCCCAACAAGGCCTCAGTATCATTATACAACATTATGGAATTAATTGACATAGTATTGGGTAAACTATATGTTAAAAATAATGCAAGTTCCATTCTTCGAAACATCTGGGTTGAGACAGTATCAATGACAGGTTCGGAAAATAACAAACAACCAAACAAAAAATTACAGGTTAAATCAAGGCAAACATGTGGTATCTAATCTTTTGGGATTCGCTCATTTCCCTTAGCATTATAGTTTCCAGTTGTGCCCATTTAGCCACAAAGAACTGCATTTTGTTTTTTTTAATAGCTGAGTAGTATTCCATGGAGTAGATGAACCAAAGCTTTCTTATCCAATCTTCTGCTGATGGGCATTTCAGTTGCTTCCATGTTTTCGCAATTACTGATTGTGCTGCAATGAACATGGGGATGCATGTTGGTTTGTCGTAAAACAGGTGTTTTGGATATATTCCTAGGAGTGCTATTGCTGGGTCATATGGTATGCAGATTTTGAGTTGTTTGAGTGTTCTCCAGACTGATTTCCATAAAGGCTGTACCAATTTGCAGCTCCACCAGCAGTGGAGTAGGGTTCCTTTTTCCCCGCATCCTCGCCAGCAAGCGTCGTTGGTGTTCTTGTTTATGTGGGCCAATCTTACTGGTGTTAGGTGGTACCTCATCGATGTTTTAATTTGGATTTCCCTTATTGCTAGGGAGCTGGAACATTTTTTCATATGTTTGTTTGCCATTTGGACTTGTTCCTTTGTGAAATGTTTGCCCATTTCCCGTGCCCATTTCTTGAGTGGCTTGTTTGTTTTGGTTTTTTGGTTGTTTTGAAGTTCTTTGTATATCCTGGAAATTAGCCCCCTATCGCCTATATCGTGTGCAAAGATCTTCTCCCACTCTGTGGGTTGCTTTTTTACTTTGTTGATTGTTTCCCTTGCTGTACAGAAGCTTCTTAGTTTGATGAGGTCCCATTTGTTTATTCTGTTCTCAACTGCTATTGCTTTTGGTGTCCTTCTTAGAAAGTTGGTACCTACTCCTAGGTCTTGCAGGGTATTTCCTACATTTTCTTGCAAGAGTTTGAAGGTTTCTGGATGTAGGTTTAGGTCTTTTATCCATGTAGATTGGATCTTAGTGTATGGTGATAGATGTGGGTCTATCTTTTTGTTTCTACAGGCTATCAGCCAGTTGTCCCAACAACATTTACTAAAGAGTCCTTCCCACTTGCTTAAGCTGTCATTGGTCTTTTTGTCAAAGATTAATTGGCTGTATCTGTGTGGATTCCCTTTTGGTGCTTCTATTCTATTCCATTGATCTTCCTTTCTGTCTTTGTGCCAGTACCAGGCTGTTTTGATAACCACTGCTCTATAGTATGTCCAGAGGTCCGGGATTGTGATTCCCCCTGCTAATTTCTTATTTTTCAGGATGGTTCTAGCTATTCGTGGTTTTTTGTGTTTCCAGATGAACTTTTGAATCATTGTATCCAGTTCCGTGAAGAATGTTTTGGGCAATTTGATTGGAATTGCGTTGAAAATGTATATTGCTTGTGGTAGTATAGACATTTTAATGATATTGATTTTGCCTATCCAGGAGCACGGGATGTTATTCCATCTTTTGAGGTTTTGTTCAATTTCCTTTTTAAATAGTTTGTAGTTTTCTTCGAATAGGTCTCCTACACTTTTGGTTAGATTTATTCCCAAATACTTCATACTTCTCTCTGCTATTTTGAATGGTATCCTGTTGGTTAGATCTTCTTCCATCTTGGTGTTATTTGCGTACACTATGGCTGTTGATTTTCGTTCGTTAATTTTGTACCCCGCCACTCTGCCAAACTCTCGTATAAGTTCTAGCAGTTTCTGTATTGAGTCTCCTGGTTTTTCTATGTATAGGATTATGTCATCTGCATATAGTGAAAGCTTGACTTCTTCGTTTCCTATACGTATGCCTTTGATAACTTCTTTCCATCTCTTTTTAAAATTATAGCATTTAGTTTATGCTAAAATGTTCACATACTCATATTTTCTAAAATGTTACTGTAAGTCTTTTTATGCAGTTTCCTAATATCCCCTGGATTTTTGCTATCATGCTAAGAATTTACAAAATATGGAAAATTTTAGTGCTTTATCATTTGTGGAAATTCAAACTTCCTTTTATTTATTCAACCTCACATGAAAGATAGCTGTGTTTGACATTTTCCTTTTATTTGTTGTGCAGCAATCAACACTTTGTCAAATAATTCTTACAAGATAGTATAAAAAAACAAGTATAGAAAACTTGAGTTCTATCCCTGTAGAATGTGGCACTTTAAATATAGAATGACAAAACTGGAATTGTGTTCCTGTATCCTTAACTTTATAATTAAGTGTATAATTTTATTCATGTGCTATTTAATTTATTGCTCTCTGAAGCTTAGAAGGGAAACTGAACTTTTGGAACTGCTATTTGAGATAAAGTAAGTAATGGAAGTCATGATATGCATTTTAGTTAATAAAGTCAACTTTATTTATGTATTTAGTTAGTTGAAAAACTTAGTTACAGAGAGATGGAGATGTGGAGACCAAGACAGAGAACAATCCTCTGGTTTATTCCTCTAGTGGCTACAATGACCAGGACTGGGCCATTTCGAAGCTAGGAAACAGAAACCCCATCCAGGTCTCCCGTATGTGTGGTAGGGGCCATCATCTGCTGCATTTCCCTAGCACATTGGCATGAAGATAGATCAGAAACAGAGCATTCGTGACGTAAACCGGCACCCAATGGGATGCTAGTATTGCAAGAACCAACATGCTTCACCACATCACCCTCCTTAAAAAGTATATATCATTTTTGAAAGAGTGATTTCCCCAAAGACTAAATATTTAGTGATTGGTAAAGTTGGAATCAGGGTGCCAGCACCCTGATTAAAATTCCACACGCTAGCTGCAGGATACACTTCCTCCTACCAGGTTGCTCCTGTAATTTTAATTTGTCATCAAAGTAGTAAACAATTAAAGCCTGAGATTCATTTTCTTCGCAAATGAGTAATTAGTGAATGTCAATTTCATGTTTTTTCCATCTAGGCAAAAGATAAAAATAGTCATGTTAAAATACTTTACAGATACTTTAGCTTTGATGATACACCAATCAGGGAGACAAATGGACATAAATATTAGTTTGTTTTCTAAACAGATCATCTACGCGGGTCTCATCATTTGTCTTCTATAGATAACTTTAGGAGTGTTGCTAATTAGACATAAGACAGTCCCCTCGTCCAAACATTATTTGATTTACACTTGCTTTAAGATTTTCTCTCTTCTCTTACACCCCCTCACAGCACAAGGTGTTTCAAAACTCAGGCAGCTGCCATCTGGCTTGTTTTATGTAATTCTCTAAGCCCATTCAAGTGGCAATATACCAGTGAAGAAAAAATATGTATTGGATGTAGCCCAGGAACTGTACCCGAAATAACTTTGTAAAAGTCATTGAGCATAGCAGTGGGGATAACAGGGAGGTCAGAGGCAGCAGCTGCTCGAGGAGTGCTGCCATCAACCTGCCATCACCATGCCACAGGTACAGTCCAGACAGCAGTGCTCCGAGCTTCTCCAGCTTCTCCCTTACGCTGTTGCCCCATCACTCGTGTCTCAGGAGCTGACAGCACCTGGGATTCAATTCCTGATGAATTTTATAGATTCTCATTGATTTTGATAATTTACCAGTTGTAACAGTGAGAACCATCCCCCAAATTGGGAAATGGCTTTCATATTTCATTGCATATTGATGTATCATCTTATGATATTTTTAGTCTCCAATGGAGAAAGCAGGCAAAGCTTCATAAAAGATTAGTAGGAGACCTACAAATAGCTTTCTAGGTTTGTGTCAGTTCTTGTAGACTGCTTTTTCTTTTCTCTTGTCTCTCGTCTCTCCCCTCTCCTCCTCTCGACTCTTTTCTCTTTCCCTCCCCTCTTCTCTTCTCCACTGTTCTCCTCCCCTCCCTTCTCCTCTCTTCTCCCTTTCGCTTCTCCTCTCCTTTTCCCTCTCCTCGTTGCCTGAATTCCTACCAAAGAAGGTGTAAATAGTTCTGAACAAAGGGGAATCTTCCCAAGACGGGTAAAATCTCCCTGCTATTGGAGAGGTCTCATTTCAGTTCTTTCAGAGCAGCAGCGGCATACCACAGTCACCTCTTTTTGATAGTGTCAGTCATCAACCCATCTCTCCTCTTTACCAATTGTTCCCATTTGAGTCAGTTAAAGAATAGGCTGTAATTCATCATGTCCCTATTTCTTTCATTGAGATCAACCTGATTGGGTAAATGATCCCTCTTTAAACAAATACGTGCACACACACATACACACACATAAATAGTTTATTGCTTTACAAAGCCAAATGGTGTTATTCACATAATTAGTTCCTTGTAACTTTTGTATTTACTGTACTGCTTTAAATCTTTTTGTTTTTTCATTCCCCTTATTCAGCCAAAGATTTTTGTAAGATTTTATAGCATGTAGCATAATGAAAAGCCCCAACATACCAGAATATATTTTTAGAATGGAGAGATTCTACAAATAACAGATTTTTTCCATTTTAGACCTTATGAAAAATGGATTTGGTACTTATAAAAAATGTATCTGGAACATCTGAGTGCAAGATTTTTTATTGGGTTTTAGAATTCAGATCTATGATTTAAAAGCAATTTCTTCCTTTCTGAAAGTGGCCATGGCAAATTGATTTTTAAGGATAAAGGAAGGGTGTCATTTGGATTTTGAACCTTTTTCTCAGGACTTAGATTGCTTTTGCTCGTGTCAACTGCCTTTATTTCTGCCTCATCCATATGAAGGTGGGAGGAAGCACGTGATTTCACAGCACTTTCACAAGGGTTAATCACAGGCAGAGTATAAACACGGCTCTGCTTTTCTTGGTGACGTTTTGCCTTTGGAGCTCCTCATTTCCTGTTAAACACCAGTATAACCTTGTAGTTCACATTCTGTTTTTCTGTCTTCATAAAGGGCCTTCATATCTTACACAAGCACATGCTACATAGCTGTCTTTTGTTCAGTTTCAGAGTGCATGTATGCTATGGAATTCCCATCAGATAAACTCACTGAGCAGCATGGTGGCTGTCGTTGTTGTTGATATTTGCATGATGACAAGATCACCTAAGGTCTCATTTCTCAGAATTTATCCCCATCATTAAGAACACATTGATCACAGGATCACATTCATTAACATAGCATCACCCCAAAAGAGATACCATTTTTTTAAAACTAGAATAAAAAGAAGAGATAATAAACCCAATTGAGTGAATTGTTAGTGCTAGACTTTCAAGTAACACACCATTGAAAATGAAACAATTGCATTGCAGATGAAACTAGAAATTTTTCAAACTAGGACAATGAATAGAGGAGTAAAGAGAATCATTTTTAATTATTCCTATGAAAGTTGTATTACAAGCAGTAACCCATCTTTAAAAAATCTTGATCCCTCAGGTTCTAAAAGTAATCCTCTCAGGCAAACTCTTTTTGTCTTTATGTTAGTGTCAACTTCCTTGTTCTAATTTTAGGCACATCTAAAGCAGTAAAATCTAATGAAGTAAAAAAATGATAGACTACCACCTAGTTTTCTCTTTCAGGAGTAACTGCTTTTTTCCTGAATTATTTTTCTTCTAAAATTAATGAACTCAAGTGTATTTTTGAATGTCTCTTAAATAGACTTCTTGGGATTGAGTTTAGATACACCTCCTAGGTTAGCTAGATGGTCTTAACCCAAGCTGCTTATTCCATCTGCATTTCCATTGGGTATCTATAAAATGGAGGCCCTTGAGGTACTAAAGATGAATGAAATTATATCATGTGTGTTAAGAGTTTAGCTTCTAATAGTTTTTTGGCTAATATTTGGTTCTCACAAATCACAAAATATCATAGCCATGTTAAACAATTAGCAGAACTACAATATAAAACATATAGTAAATATTTGTGTGACTTCTGATATTTATTGTGTGCTTATTAAATACCGAGTGACCAAATGTTTATTAACCACTTCTGTAAATTTCATTTAATCTTCACAATAATAGTGAAGATACAAATGTCCCTTGTTTATCTGTGGGAAAACTCACTTAAATAAGTACATGGTCATGTAAGTAGAGAAGTGCAACCTTGCTGGAAGCACGCCTAGAGACTGAGCCACCTTCTGCCTTTCACTCCAGTCTTCTGTCTTCAGTTTGATTCAATAATGTATTGCCAGGAGCAACACTAGGTGCTAACAAAAATCAAACTTTCAGTATTTCTTGAATCATTTTATCATGCATAAATGATTTATATTTTCTTATTTCCAAACTTTTCAATAAACTTTAGAGTTATGTATCTATTTTTGAACATGCAAATTTGTAGAGTTCTCAAAGCACAGCTTGTTATTCCCCTACCTTTCTTTCCTATTAATTTTGACATTTTTGTTTTATTTTCATTTCTTCAAAATAGTTTCTTTTTTCTTATTACATTGTTCACTGAGTCTTAGGTCATACACTAGCATCATTTGCTTCAAGAAGGTTTTTGATTTTCTTTTTGCATTTCTTCAGAGAGACATTGGTCATTCAGTAGTAGCATGCTGTTTAATTTCATGCTGTTGTGAATTTTCTGCTTTTTTTCCTGTTCATTTTGTTTTATGGCTCTTCATTATGCAAGGAATTGTATAGTAACTGTGTAATAGAGACAATCATATCCAGATGTGAAGATACAATGCAGGGTGCATCTCTCCTTCCAAATCAAAGATGAACCCGCAATGAAATTGTTAAATATATATTGACAATAGGATGCTGGACTATCTGTATTTGCAATGTCAGGATACACTTAAATAGAAGAATCCTGGACTTAGGACTGCCTATGAAGGACTCTACTATTGTTGTTCATATCCACTCAGACATCTCCAAGTAAATACCTAGTTTTTAAAATGAATTCTTACGAAGGGTGCTGTCCATTTTGTTTTTGAAATAACTATATGGTTGTGTATCATTCAACCAACTGCATTCTTTAATCTGCCAGCCCTTTCTTGATTGTGTAGCACTGAACATAACCATGTTTACCCTCTAGAGCTGTCTCTTGTTCAAGTGCCAAAACCAATACTCAGATGCTGGGGAATGCCTTAAATGCTAAGGTCAAACCGTCAATAGCCTTCAGCTTGGGTGGACTGATGCCACCCAAGAGAATTGGCATTTTGGTAAGCTACTTGGCTAAACTTTAATAATACAAATTCTGTTAACCTTGGAACCCTGAGTGAAACACAAGTGAGTAAGGAAATCCCTATTGTTAACTAACCCCATTTTGCATATTTATTGCTTTTCTTTTAATTTACAAGGGCATGTCAAATTGTATAATGAAATCTGCAGTGTACTTGCTAGGCCGTTCATTTTTCCTTCTCTGTGTCATTTAATGTTGATAGCTGATGTGAGTTTGGTAGCACCAGCTTACCTACATTTGCAGGAAGTATAAAAACCTTTTCAAAAATCTTGGCTGGCATTATCATTCTTTGGGTAACTTTCTGAATCTTTCTTGTCTGTTTCAAAGTCCAAAAAATTGGACTTACTTTTTCATTTCACAAAAATGGAAATTATACCAGGGAACTTCAACATTTTTGTGAAAAGCAATATTACGAGCTAAAATTTTGGAAGTATGCAAAAATGTGAAAATTGTGTATATGAGGGAATCTTGAAAAGTTCATTTTAAGGCATATTATGGAAAATATATGTATGGATTTCCAAAACTTTCACACTAAAATGATCTTTTCTGCACCATTTAAAGTACACTCAGGTTCACTTTAGAAATATACACAGTATTTTGTTAGGTTGAATAGTATGTTACAGCTGGCTATTGCTATCATTCCAAATTATCCCTTTCACAATCATATGCATTTAAGAAGGTAACTAAAGCAGCAATGTAGTACAAATGATAATGCTTAGGAGTGTGAAAATATAGACACTCAGAAACAAGGAGACTACGTGGCATACAGAAGACATTTACACAGGCATAATTGACATTGTTTATAGAAGGGGGAAATTGCCAAATACAGAATAAGGAATGAGTTAAAGATTTAAGAATAACAGATTAAATGAGGGGGAATCCCAGCCTATAAAAAATTGTACCACAATTCAAAATAAAAATATATTTAAAAAAAAGAATAACAAATTAAAGTATACTGACTTTACTATGATGATATGCTGCATCTTCATACTTAGACTAAATTGGAAGAAAGCAAGGTAAAAATATAAAACTCAAATTACATATTTTCTTTTTATCAAACCATAGAAGACAGTATTGAAACTATACATCTCACTTTGACAACTACATTTATGGACTTCCCAAAGATAACTGTCATCAATTGTATGGGTAATTTAAAGTTGCATGCGCTGTTTATATTTGAAGACTATAAATTCACTTATTTAACAATGATTTATTTTGCAACTATTAACAGTTGTGAACAAACACCAGCTCAATATTAAGTTATACTAAGAACAATAAATATCAAAGAAGTATGCATGGAGCTATGATGCAATGCACAAAAAGTCCTTTATGGTATCTGAATACTCCTGCCCAATTTAAGAACCTCTAATTTAGATTTTGATTGAAATTATGTGTTAGGGGTAAAATCACTTTATCCCATTTAACTTCTCCCTTAGTGACGACTAAAGAGAAGAGTTGTATCCTGCTAAGATTGGAGGAGGCACTCTCCTTTTCAGCAGAAGGAAAGCTTCAGGTCTGAACTAATTGTTCTGTGATTGATTGATAATCTCCCTCCTCTTGCTACATACTGCCAGATGACATGCTTTGTACACACAACAGGAGGTAAGAGAGTCAATCAATTAGGGAAACAATTAGTTCCAGTTTCTATAATTTATTTGAGGCTGATGAAGTTGCCTGAAAACATTAACAATATTAAAGATCAGCAATAAAACCTAAAGAAATAAACATATTCAAAGCTTAGAAGCAGATTCTTAATTGATACTATTTTTGCACCAATAGGTAATTAATTGATATTAATGTAACAATTACTAAATAGACTGTCAAAGCTGGCCAAGGTGTGTTCATGATTTTGGGAGCTTCGGATTTTATGCTTGACATGATGTGGAAGTGTTCCTGGAAAACCCAATGTGATTAACTGATTTTAAGAATGAGACTTCCTAACTCATCAATACATGCCAGATTGGAAATTTTGGGTGCTAAACATTCAGTGCAACCTTATGCCTTCTTTGTATGCATTATTTAATTCATGTTTTAGTAAGTATAGTATCTGGGAATAAGATAATATTAGATCCACTAACCTGTACCAGGAATACATGAGTCAACTTGGAGCAGTATAATTTGATGAGATCCTTGGATCATACAGAATTCTGGATTTGTGTGTGTTGCAATATCTGGTTTAAAAAAAATCACGTGGTGGGGTAGAAATCAGGATGAACCAACGTGAAGAGCAAAGTGAATTCTAAGCGTTCATATGCACTAAAAATATAAGAACTCAGACGTTAGGCTACAGGGTACCTCAGTCTTTTGCAGAGAGTGGGAAAGATACAAAGACGGTCAAAACCCTGGGATTTGAAATAAGAAAGAGAGAAAAGGTTTATGAATTTTACTATCAGGGCATTTATTTGACTATAGCTTAGAGTACTGATTGGGTCTCAGAGTGCCTGGATGAGGCGCCAGTCAAGCTCCCGACCAACGTCCCGCTAATGCACACACTGGGAGGCATCTGTAGTGACAGGAGTCTGGCTCTGCCCCCATGACTGGAGACCTCACTTGTGTGAACGGCTCCCAGCTTTAGCTTGTAGCACTGCATGCAAATGGCAGATGCTCTTTAGGGTCGGAAGGATAGTAGTGTTGATCTCTTTCTCTGTCTCTCCAGTAATTGGTCAACTTAAAAAAAACTATGGAAAAGAAAGGCTGCTGAAGAAATCAGCCCCTCTTTCAT